CTACACCTTGGCTTTGTAAAACTTGCAACAAAATTTAAAGAGCTATCTACTCTTCATCAAAATATGTCCACGCCCTCAGTTTGGCGGGATCACCACATCTTTACCTGCACCAAATCCCACAGGGGTGAGAATAAAGCCCTGTAGAGAATTTCTAACAAAGTATACCTAGTCATGCAAACACTTCAATAAATACACAAGTGTCAATGCCATGCTACACACCTATAGAAGAAAATTTTCATTTCATGCTCTTTTAAAAGATTACTAACTTCGAATAAAAACTACGTAAGATGCCCAACATTTAATGCAATGCGATGCCATGCTATGCCATTTTCAAAAATAATCATGTGCCCTGTTTTGAATGAAAATCAGCATGCTATCAACAACATTTTCAAAACTCATTAATTCCAATTCCCAATTTACTTGAGAGGGGCGGTACATACGACACTGGTAATCCTTAGGCTGGTGTTTGCAAGTAGACTATACAAGTACTACCAAACTGTCATTTTTACCGGTATTAACCGGAAGGCTCGACACCTATCCGCGCGGTTTTCTGGTCTTTCACCATGGACACTCAGGCTAACTTATCAAGTTCAACGACACCTCCTATCCGGACTTACCAACGTATTTACCCCATGACTCATTTCTATGATTCATATTACAATACCATTTTCTTTCATGAAGTAGATGAACTCGGTCTAAATACACCATGCATGATAGTAAATCACATGAATATGTAATGCAACCATTTTCTCCATGTCTCATGGAAAATTCTCAAGTCATTCCAACAACATCACAAACAATTCCCTTCACCATTTCCATGTTCTTCCCACCAATAGTCAAGAATTTATTAACATTTGATCTTGTGCAACTATATAAACGCAATCTATGCTTTTTCAACATTCACTTCTATTTAAGCCAAAGCAACATGTAGATGCTAATCTCTACTTCTCAAAATCTTTTGTAGTATGAGATGTTTCTCCATCAATATAAAGGGTCACATCTATGTACATATATGTAGACATTCATGCCCATTTAACATTTCATGCACATTAGTGATAATAAACCAAATGAGAATGTGACGCAATAATTAATATCTCATAACCTTTCTTCATTTTGAAATATCTCTACAACAAGGTCCATACAATTCAATTTCTCATTTCTTCTCTTGCAATGTTATTATACAACCTAACCACATGCTTTCCATTCATAGCAACAACTACTATTACTTGCCATGCACAATTCATAGCTAGTTAGTCTCTTCAAAAATATATTTATTATGTTCTCCACATAGCTCTCCAAGATTTTACAATTCTTACAATTCGAGGTATACAACCATTTATTATTTTCCAACAATCCATGTTCTAGTGTTTAATAATTATAGGAAACTAACATCTTATTTCTCTTACCTCACATAGATAGTCATTTCTCTAAACATTTATGGAGTTTATTTTCATTCATCCTCTTAACATAAAAGAATAAAGAATTCGTAGGTATTTTTCTTATTTGCCAAAATCCCCAAATTTTAGGGTTTTTCATCAAGGCAAAACACTTCTCATTTCTTTGTTAAATCCCAACTAAATTCACATTTCTTAGGTTATGTGAGTGAACTAACAACATGGAGTAACAATGAGTGAGCTTTGGAAACTAACATTTAAAATTTCTTTACCCTTTTAAATAAATTCATAAAATCAACTCAAAACTTTGAGAAAACTCTTAAAACACTATCAATGTAGCAAAACATGTATATATAACTCTAGAAATCCCTACCTCAAGAGAGAAGAGGAGAAAGGCTCCAAAATCAACTTCGCCGAAAAACGATCTCCACCGGTCAAAACGAAGCCCCCGACACGCTCATCATTTTGGTGTATGGGACTAGTATCAAAATCTCCACGGATCTCTTGAGATCAGAGAAGATATAAAGTTTGGAGGGTTTGGGTAGAGAGAGATGAGAGAAAAAAAAGAAGAAGAAACAATTAGAGAGAGTGATATATCTGAAAATGGAAGAAAATGGACCATAAATGCAAAATATAGTTGAAAGGCACGAAAAACGGAGCAAAAACGCTGAACGCCGCACGTGCGGCGCACACTCCCCACGTACAGAGCGGCCTTCCCGCACGTGCGGCTCTCACCCCCGCACGCGCGGTCTCCTCCACACCTCCCCTCGCGCACTTGCTTTTATTTCAGTGTGCACACAGCACACTTCCCTGTTTCCCGCACATGCAGCCTGGCCTCTTGCACGTGCGCCCCCTCCCCGCACGTGCAGCCCTGGCCCCCTGCCCCGGAAAATCCCCGGCTTCTCCCCCGACCCTCCGAAGCCGACCCCGCACCCTCCGAAGCGAGTGTAAACTCAGAATTGAAACAACTACAATTGAAGGCAAATTTAGGAAGGAAAACTCAACACCAACTTTCCCGACATTACGCGAGAGAAACAAAACGTTTTTCGGTCATCACAACCTCCTCACCTTAGGAAATTTTGTCTGTGAAATTTAAGCAATGCCGAAACAAAAGCTAACAAGCCAAAGGCAAAGCACGACACCAAGGAAAACTTCCCAACCAACCAAAGGAACACAACACCAACTCCTGGCCACAACCAAACTAGGAATACCTTCCGACTCTAGGAACACCAAGGACACCCAAACCAATAAGGACATAAGAAAAGGTCACCGGTCTCTCCTCGATTCACACTATGTGACCAAAACAACAACAACTACAGCGACAACACGCCTATCTAAGGCTTCCACCACCACCTGCCCAAACACTCCCGAACGCTTAACACTACGGTAAGGAAAAGATTAAAACTCCCTCCACAAAATACTTACTTGCTCAAATGAATGAAAGGAATCACAACAAGACCCGGCTCAAAACAAGACCCCGGCCTAACAAGCCCTAACAACATCAATTGGCCCACTTAACCAAATATACAAAATTCAAGATTTAGCAATACAATCAAAGTGATTACGTTAACTCAGCCATAAGGGTACAAAACTTTAACAACTCAAACCCAAAATAAGGAAAAATTCATCTTTTTCTTAATCCTTGGTAAAAATCGTTTCCTTCATATACAAAACATTTTCTCAAAGGTGTTCAAATTTATAACGGTCACAATTCAAAGCCGAAAAAACCTCGGCTTCTCCCCCGACACTCCGAAGCCGATCCTGCACCCTCCGAAGCGAGTGTAAACTCAGAATTGAAACAACTACAATTGAAGGCAAATTTAGGAAGGAAAAACTCAACACCAACTTTCCCGACATTACACGAGAGAAACAAGACGTTTTTTCGAATCGGTCATCACACCAGAATTTCTCTGGAAAGTGGAAGTCTAGAGAAATTCAAATCGAATTTTCCCTGGATCAATGTTGAGGGATCTTAGACATTATGAAAATATTAGATATCCTTTATACTATAAAATCTTAATAATAGGGACGTTTAAAAAAAATCCCCTATATATATATATTTACTTTCAAAATATGTGTACACAATTTTTTTTTTTAAAATTTTCATATAAAAATTCTTTTACTTAAAAAAATACGAAAAAAGAAATTAATCGGTTGGTATAGAGAAGCTTGCACATATTTAATGTCCAATAATTGAGCACTAAAAAAAGTCTTCTTTTTTAAAATAAAAAATAAAAATAAAGTTTATTACATTTTCTACCCTTAAACTATCGTTAAATTGTCTCCTTAGTTCTTGAACTATCGATTGAGTCTACAAACACTCTAAATTATGTAAATCAAAGTCCCTAAAGTCCATGAACTATTGATTAAATTTATTAAGTTCTTAAAGTATTTAATTCAAACTTATTTAGTTTCTAAAAGAATTACAAAAATAAAATATAAACCTATAAGTATTATAAATTAATAAAAGAACCTATTTAGTCAAAGTTTTACTTCAAAGAAACCTTAAATTTTTAGTTCTTTTAGCGAGTTTTCTTTATAAAGGTAAGGATAATTATCTATACTATTTTTTCTCTATCTTCTACAATGACTACCTGATTGTCTTTATCTAGTATTATATGTCGGATTTCGTTTATAATTTTTAATTGATTGTCGTTAAGTTTTACAATAATTTCTTTCTATAACTTAATTAATGTAATATTTTGTTCTATTAGTATTTATATTGAAGTGCTATTATTTAAATTATCTAATTCTATAATTCTACTTTTTCAATATATCTAATACTCATATAATTTTATTGGCAAGACTAAGTGTATCGCCCCACTTTTTGGGCCGTTAAATATATTAAATCAACCTAAAAAATATACAAATTTTCTCTCAAAAAAAAAAAATTACACACAAATGTCCCCAAAATATAATTTATACAAATCATCAAATATAATAATAGTGCTGGGTCCAAAATCTCTAACTCAATAATTCATTTATTTCTTCAATCGCCACTAAAATTTGCTCTGCACCTAAAAATAAATTAATTCAAGTATACAATACGACAGAAATACAAAATTTGGATACAAAATAAATCAATAATTTACAACATTGTACCAACGATTCGATAACACCAAATAATTTACCGAATTACTCAAACAAATAATCTCACTTATGATAGTTTATTCAGAACTAAATACCTGGTCCTACTCAGTACATGACTAGCAACCGGCCTCACCTACCTCACCCAAGTACAACCATTTATCCAAGCATATTGATTCAAGCTTATTGGCAGGGCTCACTTGATCCATGTACGAAACATTTTCACGTCATTCAATTAGATATATCATCATTTTTAGCACAAAATATCTTCCCATAATTTTACCAAATGACCAGAATAATCAATGAATCAACAATGAATAATTTCACAGAATTTATTATTAATCACAATAATCAAAAGGATTACAAATTAGGAATAATTAAAATAGAACCCTTTGCAAAAAGATTTAGAAAAACATATTATATACCATTCAAATTATCTCAAAATAATCTCCTCCGTCACCATCACTTTGATAATCTGAAATTGTTCCATAATCTCCAAATGAATGCGGATTAAAATTTCAAGACATAAGGTAGGTAAAGTTTGATAAAATCTAAAACTCTTCTCTTTTATAAAATTATTAACTCTCACTCTACATACTTTCAAATCTAAATTCAATATTTGTGTTATAAACAAACTAAGAGGGAAAACAATATGAGAGAGAGAGAGAGAGAGAGGTGAAACTGAGTGACACTGAGAGTAGGTTGTGCACAATACCGCCAAAACCACACAAAATCACTCCAAACCATACATTTTTCCAACTCTGTGGGCAAGTTGGATGGGTGGGAGCCCCAACAGTGGCGGGTCAATGCGGGTGGCAGTTGGAAAATGCCAACCCGCTTATGTAATCGACCCAACCCACACTTACATAATTTGCACAAATTCTGGTATATATACATGATCCAGCAAGTTACATCTCAACCATTAGATTAAATCTATCATACCAAATGTAGATATACTCACATACACCTGTAATAATTTCTCAATTAAACCTAATTGGCACCCAAACATCTCATCTCATTCATCATCGCCGCTGGTTTGAGGGCTCTAGTCTTGTTCCTCTTCCTTGCCTTGCGATCGACACTGCCATAGCCGTGCTGTCACCATCGCTTCACTCGTCGTCGCTACTCTCCACGCATTGCTGCTGCTCTCTGCTTGCCGCTGCTACTTTCTCCTCGCCGATTGGTACGTGCCTTTTTGTTTTCTCTCTCTCTCTCTCTCTCTCTTTCTGTTCTCACTCTCTTCTACTCCTAATCTCCTTTCTCTCTCTCTCTGTTAATCAACAAATCTCGTTGTACTCTCTCTCTATGCTCTTTCTCTCTCTTAAATAAATAATATCTTCTATGCTCTCTATCTCTCCACGCCTTCTCTCCGTGCCTTTTTGTTTATTTTTTTTTTATTTCAAACCCATATTGATAATTTTATTTATATATTTTTATTTGGGATTCACAGGTAGAATTTATGTTACTCTCATCTTTGTTATTGTTAGACAAATAATTAAATCAACTGCTTAAAGAGCAAAAATACAATCTACTCTCATCATCATTGTAAATTTTTTATTTATGTTACTCTCATCATCATTGTAAATTTTTTATTTTGTACTAGATCGTGGATGAGGGAAATACAAATGATGGCTGCTTTGCGGTGGAAACCCTCCTACACCTACTGCAGAATCAACTACTGTTGCTAGTTCTACCACTACCACAATGCCTGCAAAAATTCTGGTAAAACTCATCCATGCCCTAGTATTAATTTAGTATTTATTGCCTTGTTAAATTGTTATTGTATAATTTGCTTGGATTGTTGGATTTTAAGTTTACTAGTTTGTTAATGTTTAATGTTATATTAGATGAATATTTTAATTTTGACTATTTTAGTTAATTTATAAATTAGATGTAACAACTCACATTTTTAATTATTCTGTAGAATTTATACTAATATTATTTAATCTCAGTTCGGAAAATATATAATTTATTATATATTATTATTCGTAATTTTTGTAAAATAATATAATTATTAAAAGTTTAGAGGTCAAAATATAAATAATAATAATATAGATAATAAATAATAATAATAATGGGTGTGGTACTAAAATAAATAATTAATTTTTCATTAGTATATGATAAAGTATAATTTAATTAAAAATTAATTTATTTATATAATTATATTAAAATATTGGGTCAAAAGGTAATTATCTTAAATATCTATTAAGAATAAGAATGAATCTATATAATTATGAATTAAATCTGAACGAAAGTGACGTCTGAGCCACGTGGAGGCCACGTACTTGTCTCTCCTCCCTATAAAAGGAGGAGACGTTCACTGGAGAGGGGAGGAAAGAAAAGAAGAAAAGAAAAGAAAGAAGAAAGAAATGAAAGAAACAGAAGAAAAAGGAAAAAAAAGATAAGGAAGTTGAAAGAGTTTTTGATAGTGGAAAGAAAGAGTAATGTATTAAAGTTAAGGTGAGTTTTATTATATTTTGAGTCATCAAAATATATTTACATATGTTTTGACTTATCATATTTATTTTATACAAGTTATGTTTTATTAGCATATTAATAAAAGTTATGTTTTATAAAGGTTTCAGTTACGTGGTTTTATTTCTGAACCCTATTTGCTTAAAAAGAAATCCATGGATATGTTTGTTTTACTTTTAAAGAATATTTGACTATGATCTTATAAACAATTATGTTTTGTAAGTACTATCACGGGAGTCCCACGCTTTGGGGGACTTAAATAACCATTGGCCTCTGTTTGGTTACTTTGTGGCCCTCTGATCCATTGACCTCCGTTCTGTGCGGAGCAAAGTGTTGTGCGGAGCTAAGTGCTACACTATTGTGGGAGCCACCTCTAGAATCTGTACGAGCCACCTCTTGAATCCGTACCTCTATTCTGTGCGGACCAAAGTGCTGTGCGGAGCTAAGTGCTACACTATTGTGGGAGCCACCTCTAGAATCCGTACGAGCCACCTCTTGAATCCGTACCTCTGTTCTGACTGTCACTTCTGTGACCTCTGTTCTGTTCTGTTCTGCACCGTGGTTATGATTATCTATTTATATAATATCTGTATTCTAGTTTCTGCTACTCAAATGATTTATGTACCAAGCTGAGTTATATAAATGTTTTGGCCTAATTAATTGTCCATGGTTATTTCGTGTCCCTTGTACTCTTGGTATAATATTTCTCGCTCTGCCATGTGCTTATAGTTGTTTACCAATTTTCAGGAAACAATGCAATTCAGA